TCTCTCTCTCTCTCTCTCTCTCTCTCTCTCTCTTTCTGTCTCTTTTATAAAAATGTTATTGTCTGTGCGTATATACGACGGCCATTCGCAGATCTCCATTATTGCATCGCAGAAGGTACATCACGCCTCATGGCATTAGCCCTTTATATGATACACCCATTCGAGCCCTCTTTCAAGCGTTTTAATTAATGATTTTAACGTAAAACGCTCGTGTCGTTTCACCTCGTTTCTCGGCGAAACCTGGAACGAGCCCCATTTTATGAGGCGCAAAACGTGTTTGAGTGAAACGCTTCTACTTCGTATCTACTATCTAGGAAGCAGACTGCCAAGAATATGTCTTATCGGGATTCGATAGATGAGCTGCTTTTACGACACATATCTGATAAAATTAAAAAGATTGTATGGAGAGATACAAATCTGTAAGATGTGACACATCGATCAGGTTACTTCGTTTAGAAATTATGTAATTTTTATGCTTTGGATGTTAATCCATTAAAATAATTTGCAATTGTAGAGAATCTAATCGATAGTTTTAGGAAACGGAAAATACAAAATTATTTCACACGTAAAATAATTGAACGGATAAAGGAAAAAAACTTTTGCAATTTTTCAAACTTTTAGCTTAATTCAAATATCGGAAAATCTTTGTGGAATTTATATAATGAAACGATAAAAGAATATGTAATATAAATGGTGATATTATATAGGCACAATTACAGATAGGAAAAATATAATTGCTTGCTGGTGACGCGTGTGACAGAGAATTCCGAGCTGGTATTTCACTGATAATTTTTACGGCTGGAACCGGCGAGCTGCGCTTAAATGGATTATCGCGAGTTTTTACGGATTTGTTGTGTGTGTGCCCAGCGATAGGTAGATAATATTAATTGGCTATGGTTATTAATCGCGACACGTAGTAGTGAGCACTCGGTTTAAACATTTAAGCTAACGATACTATTATGCAAAATTATATTAATGCTATTGTGTGTTACAATTGAACGTTTGTTTCTGAATCGCTTGTCTCCCTTCTATACCTTAATAATAGTTAAATATGCTTTTAAATCACCTATATTAAATGTAAAATTAAAAAACAAATATGATAAAATTCCCTTATTCAACTTGAAAAATTATTTTTACTTATTTTAATACTCAAATGAACATCAAAACCTCTTTTATGTTTTTTAGTTTTATTAAAAATATATTATACGTTTCTCATACGGTATACATACATTTCTTGATTCTTGTTTAAATTATTTATCAAATTATTTATTAATCTTGATCTTGCAAGTTTAATTTTGTACAAAAATATTAAAACTCTAAGCTGTTTCATGGATACAAATTACAGACGATTATACATGTTCCTCGGTAAGTCTGCTACTGACAAGACGACTGACATTGGAATTAAACTTCAGTTTGATGCAGTTTGCAATATCTTGTTGGTTCTGTAACCATGTTGTAATTCGAATATATCGACATTTAGATCATTTTGGATTCCATTTAAAATCTACAATCATGAATAATTGCTTTGCAGTATCAATTATTATATAAAATCACGTTCCTTCACGCAATATTTTATACCACTTTGCTAAATATGGAACTGCAAGGAAAAAACATCGTGAAATTTTGCTTTGCGAAAGTTTAATAACTGAGTTTAACTTTAGACCATATTTAGATTGTTATATTGGGTTTTCATATTTATTTAAACAGTAATCTGGCAGTTGCATGAGAAAGAGCAAATTGCGCAAGACTATCGCGTACTTTGATGTTACGTACACCGAAGGAGGAACTAGTATATAGCAGAAAATTATGCGGTCTGTGGACATTCATGCGATATAACTAGATAATGCATATTACGTATGTGTTGGAATTCGCGCTTTACAATTGATGTGTGTACAAAATGATATGGAAATGATATATAATTTTGTATTTTGAGAAGTAAGAATTAGAATTCTAACTGCTGAAATGTGGTTCTTCGACATATTTATTTGTTGAGATCATAACCGTCGCTGAAAATGATGTTGATATGAGTTGAATTAATAAATTAGAACTTATTAACGAATAATTATAAATAATGGCATTCATTTAACTGTATATAAATAGAAACGAATTACAATATGAGGAATAATTAAATAAATATACCGCAAATATATGCATTCGCGAATATCAATCATAATTACTTTATTCATAACATCAGCTTAAATAAACGATGTGCATTTCAATGAATTATCAATGAATCGTAATTTTGCGTCTGCTGCGGACATAAAGTTTTTTTTTTTAAGTCAAAAACGATTATCACAAACGCGGAATTGTAACAAAACTCCCACTTTACGTGCTATTTCACTCCACCACTATTTCGTTTATTTGCAATTGAAACCTTGCTCAACTTTTCGGCTAGTGGATTCGAATATAAAATCGTTGTTACAACGCTACAGTTTTATTTCCAATTTCCGTGTGTACACAAATAGGATATCCGGTGTAAATCCACTTCTGCGCGATAAGTTTGCATAGTCCAAGAGAATATTCGTATTCATTCCGTGTTTTATTACATCCAATATATAACATTTTTCTCATGAAGCGAAAAAATTATACTACGTACACGGAATATCTTGTTACACACAATTTTAGTATAATAACACACAACGGTAATTCATTTTCTATAGGCAAGTATTTAGTAACTTCATTGTTTGTTTCGTCATTAACGATGATAGAAAAGCGCTCTCACAAAAGTTAAAACTAAATTTAGCAGGAAGATTGTACTTTATCAGGTCGAGGATTAAAACTCCCCTTTTTCATTGGCTTCTTCGTGCCCGACTAATGATTTCTTCTTCGTTCTCTTTACGTTTTAATATGCATAGCCGTTATCGCCATGAACAATTTT